CTTGAAATAGAAAACCTTTATTAGAGACGAAACTAAACTAGAATTAACTAAAGAGGAACTAAAGAACTATTAAGCTAATAATAGAAAATTCGAGAATATTATTAAAGATATTTTTAAAAATAAATAAGAAAAGTTTAATAAAATTAAAACTATAATAAACGGTTTTAATATTAAGAATTAGAATAGAATTATATTATATAATAAAGTCTTTAGTTAATATATTAATAATATTTATAATAATCTTAGTAAAAACATTTATAAAAAGTTATATTTTCTTTTTAAAATAAAAGCTTTAATATATAAAGCTATTTAATTAATTAATAAAGCTATTTTAAAATATATTAAAAATAAGAAATATTAGAATACTAATATATTTACTAAATTAGATATTACTAAAATACTCAAGTATATTAAAACTATTTTAGAACCTAAAAAATTAGGTTCTAAGCTATTATTAACTAATATTTTTAAAGCTAGATAATATATTTTTAAAGTTTCCGGAATTCTAATTAAAAGAATTTATAATAATAAGTCTTTTCCTGTTTTCTAAAATAAGCCTAAAGAATAAGCCCCTATTATAATTTTAGCTTTAATTTAATTAGATCTAGCTAATAAGAATAGAGCTAATTTAATATAGCCTAGTAATAATTCTATTAATAAAACTAGTAGAACTAGTATAACTAGATAAAAAGAACCTAGTAAGAATAAAGAATAAGCTAAGTTTAGGATTTCTAATAAATAGTAAAAATCCGAATACTAGTCTAAATATAAAACTAATAAAATAGAAGAAAATATAAAATAAATAAATAAGAAGAAATTCTTTATTCTAAAGAAAAAGATATTATCTAGAAAAACTCTCGTATTTATATCTAGAACTAAAAAGCAAAAGACTAAAGATATTAAATCCGGGGAAATTAAAGCTAATAAATATATTTATAAAATACTAGTTAAATAAAAATTAATACTTATTTAGTAAAATAAATATATTTTTAAAAAGATATATAATAGTATTTTAGGACCTATTTATAAATAAGAATATTATAAGATTATTAATAAATTCTTTAAAGGTTTTTATAAAATATATATTTAATAGTTTATTAATATTTTTTTTATTAATATAAGAGATATTTATATTATTAAGAATACTTTAGAGCTAGTTATTAAGATTTATAAAATTACTATAAATAAGAAATATGTTTTTATTATTCAAATAAATAAGGAAATATAGAATTTCTTTTTAGAAAACTAGGAAATTAAGAAATATAAATATAAGTATTATATTTCTAATTAATTTCACTCAAATTTATAACTCTAATTTAATATTATAGTTTCTATTTCTAAATCTAGTATTATTAATCTAGATATAAATAGTTATATTTATAAGAGAGATTATCTAAAATAAATTAAAAAGCTTAGTATTTAAAAGCTCTTAATATAAGAAATAGAAATATTATAATTCTATTCCTAAAAATAATAATATAATAAAATATAGAAATTTAGATAATTACTACTTTATTTTAGCCTCTTAATTCTTAATAGTAGATTTATTAATATAGTTCGGATTTCACGAGATATTAAATAAGTATTTTATTTATTTAGTTATTTATTTTTAACTAATTAGATATTATATTTCTGGAAATATTAATTATAATTAATATAAAAATAATATTAAAGATTTAGCTATTACTAAAGCTTTAAACAGCGAATTTTACTTTAATAAGAAGTATTAGAATATTAGTTATATTTTTTTTATAAACTATAAAAAAACTATTATTTTTAATAAAAAGTTTTTTAAAAATATTAATTATTCTTTTATTTCTAATAATTTTAAGCCAGAAATAAGAAAGAAAATAGGTAAGTATTTATTAAAAGTAATAAAAGAAAAGATTTTAAATATAGTTTATTTAACTAAATAAATAAATACTTTTAGCTAGATAATCTATAAGTCTGGAATTATAAATAAATAATAATTCTTAGATAATATAGAAACTAAAAGATAACTTAATAACAATTTACTATTTAATAGGCCTTTTATTATAATTCTAATAAATCTAGTTATTATTAAAAATAAAATATATAAAAATAGAATTTCCTATAAAGTTATTAAAGCTTTTTATCTAAAGCTTTCTTTTCTTATTAAAGATTAATTTAAAAATACTATAATAATACGAAATTCGAAAAAGCTATTTATTTAGAATATATTATTATAATTTATAATATAATTTACTATAATAAGCCTTTTTAATATTTAGTAATAAAGGCAGAAATTATATAATAATTAAAAATAAATTAGATTAGCTAATAAAGGAAAATTCTAATTATTTTATTATTTTGAATTCTAAATAGGATTTTTCTATTAGTTTTAGTATTTAGGAAATAAGTATAAATAAATAGAAGATTAGATATAATATAATAGACTATATTTTCCAAAAATTATATTATTTTAGTAGTTTTAAGATTTTAATTATATAATAAAAGCTATAGCCTTTTATATATAACTTATAGAAATTATATAAGAAAGCTAGTTTTTCTATAATTCTAGAAAATAATTCTTTTTTAATATTTAATTAATTAAACTTTTATATATTATATACTATTTATATATTATATATTATTTATAGTTACTTTCTTATATTATAAATCTTTTTATTAATAATTAAAATATTCTAATTATAATATAATTAGAAAAGAAATAAACTAATTAGAATCTATATTAGAAAACTATATACTATATTATATAGGAGTTAAAAAATTTCTATTTTAATATTATTTATATAATTAAATAGCTTAGCTAATATTATAATAAATTTATTATATAATATTAGAATATTATATTAAGAATATTTTATAAAATATTAGAAAAATTAAAAGCCCTAAACCTTAGAACTTTAATAATACAAATTATATAAGAAATATAACAAATAAATATTTTATTATATAATATTTATATTTATTTAATAAAAAATTTATTATATAATTCTTTATTAAATAATATTATATAATTACTTTTATTATATAATTAAAGTATATTAGCCTATTAGAAGCTAGTAAATAGAACTAGTAAATTAGGGCTTTATTTAGGGAATTTGAATATATCTAATATTTAAATATTATCTTTTTAATTTTTATATTTAATAATAATTAGAATTATATAATATTAGCTAGAAATTCTATAGCTTATAACTAAACTAAATATATTAATATTTACTATTATAATATTAGAAAGCTAATAGCCTTTAATAAAATTACTTTTAAATATATTTTTATTAAAGAAATAATAACTAATATATTTATTAAATTTCTATTATTTATAGTTTTTAAGTATTATATTAAAGAATTATTTATATTATAATTATAAAATTACAGGCTCTTTTTTAGGCTACTTTTAGGATATTTTTAATTTTTTAAATATTAAGGCTTTAAAAGCTTTAATAAATAAAATAATAATTTTTAAAATTATTTTCTTAGAATTATTTTTAGTAATATATAAGAAAACTATTAAAATTAGGGGCCTAAGAACCCTAATAGACTTAGTAAATTCTAAAACCGAATATTATAGGACTATATACTAGTTTAATATTCTATTTAGCTAGTTTAATAAAATCATTTTTTAGATTTTAAAAAATAATATTTTTATTATAATATAGCTATTTTAGGCTATTTAATAAAAAGTATATTAATATAAATTTTTTTTTTTAAAAGCTTATATTTTATTTCGAAGAGTTCTATAAATAAGCTATAATAATATATATTTCAAAATATATCTTTTATTTTATATTATATCTTATTTAATAATCTTTTATATTATAACTATTATATATATTTTATATTCTAGTATAAAAAGATATTAGTTTAAGAAAAAAATAAAAATAGAAAGTAATTTTTCTAGTAAAAATATATATAATAAAAAGCTCTTTTTATAGAAATAAAGAAAATATTACTTTATTACTATAGTAATTCATATTATATTATAAGGCTAATTCTAATTCTAATTATTATATTATTATTATATATTATAATAAAATAATATTATAATAGTAATAAAAAGCTTGAATTAAGCTAAAGGCTATTTATTAGACTAAAGAAATATTAGTTATATATTAAGTTATATATAATAATATTATATAAATTATTATTATATAATAAAAAAGCTATATTTCTTTTTAAATTAAATAAGCTATATTAATTCCTTAAATTACTAAATTTATAATTATATTTATATAACTTTTTAAAGTCTTTGTATAATATTTTATTTATTTAAAAATAATTTATATTATTTTTATATTTAAGTATTTATTCGAGTAATATTTATAAGTTTAAAGTATATTTATTTAAATATATTTTATATAATTTAAACTAATATTATATAATATTAAATAACTTATTTCTTTATTTAATAAAATATTACTATATTAGTAATTATATATAAATATTTCTAATTTGACTAGAATATAATCTGAATTAGAAATATTTATATATAGTTACTAATATAGTAATATGTTATTAGATAAAGAAATAAGTTTATTTTATATTTATAAGCTAAAATTATTATTTCAAATATTTCTTATTATTATATTTTAAATATTAATATATTATTATTATTATTATTATTATTATTATTACTATAATTTCGGTTTTAACTTTATTACTAAACAAGCTTAGTTCTGATCTTAAGTAATATGCGATTTATAGTTTTGGTTTTTGGGGTTTTGGTGTTCTAGTACTCGAGCGCTTTGGTATTTTGGCCCTTCACTACCTAAAATCCTGCCCTACACGGCAGTTTCGCATATAGCTGTAATCAAGTCATGTTTCAACCACGAGATTGCCATTTCAGGGATACCCCACAATATCTCCTCACTCTTGAGCGCCAAGATTATCCACCAATAATCTGCAACCCATCTGGGAGAGCAACTTTTTCTAACAAGCCTTAAAGGCAAACCCTTTCCAGATTCTACTATGCAAGATCTTGACGTTATATACTTTTCATTCTCCATCTATTCCTGGCCATGCTACTGCCATCAGTAACGATTCTCACTGCGCTTCTAGCAAGCGCTGGAGTTGTGGGCAACCCTGTTGCTGCTCCTGGACCAACACCGGCACCGAGTCTAAAAGACACTATTATCAGGAGAGCTGCGAATTGCACCTTCAGTGGTTCGATCGGGTATTCGTTGGCATCGAAGTCGAAGACGTCTTGCTCTACTATTGTTCTGTCCTCCCTTACGGTTCCCTCAGGAGTTACTCTAAATCTAGAAAAACTTAATACTGGGACGAATGTTCGTTACACAAATTTTGTCTTAGGACGTTGTAACCGTATCTAATGACTGCAATAGGTTATCTTCCAGGGGACTACTGCATGGGGGTATGAGCAATGGGAAGGACCCCTTTTCTCTGTGAGTGGTAACCAGTAAGTGTCCTATAGCATGTCATTCATTCTCACCCATGAGTTTCTAAACAACTAACAAATTCTTAGAATCACCGTAAGAGGTGACCCAGGATCCATACTAGATGGCCAAGGCACTCTCTGGTAAGCAATTTCAGGGGCTACTGTCTATCATTTCTGGCGGATGTTAGGAGTATACCACCATAGCAGGCTCATTAAGAGCCATGTTCTGGGAGTAACACATCTTAAAAATATGCCCACATAGAAAATGTACCCTCTGCAAACGGAAGAAAGGAAGAAAATTACTGATGCCACAACTTGTAGGTGGGATGGTCTAGGGGGAGCAGGCGGCAAGATCAAACCGAAGTTTTTCAGGGCGAATGACCTCACCGACTCGATTTTGGAGGGCATCACCATTCGCAACGCACCTAAAAACTCCTTTAGCATCAACGGCGTCACAAGACTGACAGTCAAAAACATCACCATTGACGATTCGGCCGGTACCTCAAATGGCAAAAATACGGACGGATTCAACATCAATAATTCAGATCAGGTATACTTCACCGGGGTAAAGGTGTGGAACCAAGACGACTGCATGAATGTCAACTCAGGGACAAACATCTACTGGACCAACGGCTTTTGCTCCGGAGGCCACGGGCTCTCGATCGGCTCCGTAGCCAACGGCACAGTCGTACGCAACGTGACCTTCGAAAATACGATTATGGAGAAGCAGCAACAGTCTGTCCGAATCAAGACCGTTTCTGGAGCTGTTGCTAGCGTGGCGGATATCTCCTACAGCGGTATCACCATCAATGGCGGCACAGACTACGGGATTTTGGTCGACCAGTCGTATGGAGGTACCAAGCACGAGCCGACGAACGGTGTGACTATCACGAATTTCCAGTTGAGAAATATCACCGGGTACGTGGATAGTGGCGCAACCCAGATTCTCATCGAGTGTGGCTCAGGGTCTTGCTCAAACTGGTCGTGGTCGAATGTGAAGTTAACTGGAGGTAAACAGTCGACTACGTGCCTGAATAAGCCGAGTTCGATCTCCTGCTAAGTACGCGTTTGTTTCAAGTCGGAGAGTACAATTAGGTATCCTCGGAGGGACAGAATTGGAATTGATATAGATATGATAGCTACAGAGATGGGTAGAGTGTAAATAGTTTAAGAGCGATCAAATATAGGAAGATTTTACAATACAACTTAAAGCGCAGGTCCTAGCCATTCACTAATATTTTGAATTCGCGGATTAGACTGCCTTATAAGGGAATGGTTTAACCTATTTACGAATATAAAGTAATTCGTATAATTCTTTTTCTTCCTTCTAAACGCTGCCACCTAGGTTCCAGTATAATCTCGATCACTGGTTGTACTTCTCTTGCTGCCGCTCTGCGCGAAAATCGATCAAACTTCCAGAGCAAGCAGCTTGATTTATGGAATTATTTCTCGGCGCCAATCCAAAAACGTAAGAAACTAGATGCTTTCTTGCGGGCGGTTAAATACATGAGGCGAAAAAAAGTTCCGCCGAGTAGCCCACCCCTGAATTTTTGGGGGGAATACTACCGCGCCAGGGGTCAGCATTTTAACTAAATGAAATAATTTTCCTTATTACTAAACTACTTTATTTGTTTTACGGGAGTTTATAAGTAACCCCCCCCCCCAAAAATGAGTATTAATTAATTAATTATTAATTAATTATTAAACTCTAAAGCAGAATTTAATTATATTTAATTATTACAAAAAGTAATATAAGTATTATATTAAAAATCGACTTGTTTTTTAATATAATTATAAAGCTATAAAATAAAGTATTATTTAAGCTAAAAAAAAATAAGATTACAAATTAAGCCTTATTAAAAGGAAATAACTAATTATCTATCTCAAAATTCTTATTTTTATATTATTTTTTAATTTAATAAATATTAGTATATTTCTTAATTAAGTTATTTGCATTCATATAGCTATTAATATTACTAATATCTTATTAAATAATAAAATATTATTTTTATTATTTTTATTATTTTTATTACTATATATTTAGTTATATTTAATTAAATAATTAAATTTAATATTTTTTTTCTATATTATTTATAAGCTATAAATATATAATATATTTAAAACAAAAAATTATGAAATATATTATATTAATTTATATATTTAAAAAGAACCAAGGTAGTTGTAACGGCTGGTGTCACATGGTTGGTTTTGGCCAAAGGGTTTGTTTTAGCTAAGGTTCCAAGCTATGGTTCCAAACCAAGCTCGGCGTTTCAGTGGTCTTGGCCGCACTTACTTATCCATTGTCACACCTCACTCTCCTTCTCTCCTTAGCTTTAGATTCTGTAGGACATTGGAATCGTAGATCTTTGAGCCTTGTTCCATTGCTTCGTTCCTGCCGTCACAGTAGTTCATTAATTCGTGAAAGATTTTTGCATTCTGTCTCTTCTAAAGACACATTTCCTTATAGGCAGGCATTTACATTTGTAATCCCGAGTGGTAGTATCGGAGAAACCTCGATCCCTTCTATATCTGAAATGTTAGCAGTGTTGTATAAAGCTGTAAAGCTATATATGGTCCATTGACTTTCGATAAGAGTATTTCGGAGTCTCGTCCGGCAATAACTTTCGATATGAAGCTCTCTATTCTTTCCCCTACTGTCGCTTTACTTTCCCAGTTAGTATCATGTATCCCAACTCCGACCGAAAATGTCGTCGGGCACGTCAACCTGGCCAAGAGGGCTACCATCTCGGATATAGCTGACTTGGGATATGCTTAACAAAATGGAGGGTAACAAGTATTTTCTAATATGAGGGCGATTAAGGCAGACTTACTAACTTCTGTGGACTTAGAACCGCTGGGGGGAAGGGTGGGACTGTGACCACCGTATCTACACTTGCTCAATTCACCGCCGTAGCGAATAATGCGAAAAATAACGATATTATACCCAGGATTATTGTAGTATCAGGGACAATTACCAGCGCTACTCAAGTTAGAATCGGATCTAACAAAACGATTATTGGGCTTCCTGGAGCAAGTATGTTTTTGTTCAATTCCGCGGGCTTTCAGTTGACTACGATTAGAATTTGTTGGGATTGGCCTTTTCGTTTGGAAGCAGAACGACGTCATTCTTCGCAACATAATCAGTCAGGATGTACTTGCGCCTAATGGGGATGGCATCACTATCCAAGCCTCCAGGAATGTTTGGGTTGATTACTGGTTTGTTACCAAATCCTTAATATTTTCCCTGTTAATAGCCATAGCGAGTTCTATTCTGACCTAACCCACGATAAAGACTACTATAATGGCCTCGTAGATATTAGCCACGCTTCGGAGTGGGTCACTATTTCTAATACTTACCTGTATGATCACTGGAAAGCCTCTCTTATTGGCCACAGTAACAACGATGCCGTAATAGATACTGGCCATCTTCATGTTACCCAGTGTAATAATTATTGGCTCAATATTGGTAGCAGAACTCCTAGTTTAAGATACGGCCTTGGCCATATCTTCAACTCGTACTTTGAAAACATGAATACAGGCATTAACTCTAGAGATGGGGCACAAATCCTTGTTCAGGGCAATGTCTTCTCAAACGTTACAGAACCAATTGCTGCGTTATATAGTCATTCCACTGGGTAAGATCTTTACAGTCCGTAAAATAGTGGTTACGCTAGCTGATTATTAATTTAGACATGCTAACGTCTTTGATACCTATCTTGGCGGTGTTGCGAATACGGCGCCTGTTGGGACATTATCTGCGACCAGTATGCCATATTCCTACTCCTTGTTGGGGTTTGCGAATGTAATCAAGTCAGTTGTTCAAACTGCAGGTGCCACTTTGTCTTTTTGAAGTACCTTAATATGCTAGGGGCTAAAACTAGCTAAAGAACGAGAATAGTTTAATTATAAAAGTTAACTAAATAAAAAAGAATTTACTAATATTATAATTATAATACTAAATTTGAATTTGTATTTGTATTAAAAGAATACTATTAGTATTTTCTAATAATTATATTAAGCTAATCTAACTAATGCCTTTAATAAATCGCAATTCGTGAATTATATAAGTAATATAATAGAAATTTAATTATTATATAAATTTCGAATTATATATAGGCATTTAAATATATGAGAGAAAGTAAAAGAAAAATAATAAACTAAATACTTAAAAGTAATATTTTTAATTATAATAAGAAATAAAATAAAAGTCGAAAATAAAAGGCTTTAAATTATAATATATTAAGAAAGCTAATAATATATATAAATACGAGTTTTATATTATTTTTTAAATTAATATTAACTTGCCTAAAAAGTAAAATATTTAATAATAATTATAAAATAAGAAAGAAAAAATACTATTATAATAAAATATATAATATATTATATAATAACTATATACTAGTAATTATATATAGGCCCATATAACTATACTCCTATATTTGAGCTTTAGTTATTTATATTATATCTTTCTTTCTTCTTAATTTATTTATATATAATTATTATAATAATTAGTAGTAATATTCTTTAATTTAATTTAATTAAGGTCTCCTTATTTTTAATTACCTGTAAATTCCTTTATATTTCTTCTAATAAGCCTTCTAAAGTTCTATTATAATATAGTAAATTATATTCTCTAAAAATTGTATTCTTTTAGTAGTTTTAAGGTTTTAATTATATAGTAAAGGCCGCGGCCTTTTATATATAACTTGCGGAAATTATATAAAAAAGCTAGTTTTTCTATAATTCTAGAAAATAATTCTTTTTTAGTATTTAATTAATTAAGCTTTTATATATTATATACTATTTATACTTTACTATTTATATTTTTAATTTATTATTTTACTATTAAGTTATATTTTATATTCTAGTATACTTTATATAAGTTTTTATCTTATTATAGTTTCTCTTTTATAAATTTTATAATAAATAATATAAGAAAAATTAAAACTTTATAAAAAAGGTAATACTTTTATAAAGTTCTAAAGAATATTTATAAAGTGAATTATTAGCTTAGTAAGTTTAGAGAGAAAAGGATTATTATAATACTTTAAACCTAAGACTAAAATATTAAGAATATATAAATATTAATCTTAGTATTTTATATTAATTTCTAATATATCTAATAGCTTAAATACGGGTTAGCTATAAGATATAATTACTAGTATAATATATAAAAATAGTATAAATAGAGGCTAATTATAAAAGAAAAAGAAATAAAGGAAATAAAATAAGAAATATTATACTAAGATAATATAAATTAAACTTTAATTAGAAATAGATTTTAGTACTCGGAAATAAAGTTATATTATTAATTTATATATTATTTTTAGTTATAATAAAGACTAGAATAAAGATAATATTAGTTTTAATGAAAAAGCTTATTTCTAAATCCGGAAAAGATATTTAAAAGAAGAAATATTCTTAATTTCAAGTAAAATTGTAAATAGGAATCGAAAATAAAAATTAAAAAGAAATCGGAAATAAGAAATTATATAAATAATCTAAAGAAGCTTCTAAAAAAAGAAAAGAATATTAAATAAAGAAAAAAAAGAAAATTCAGAAAAGTTAGAGAAATTAGCGAAATTATATTTATTATTTTTATTATTACTTTTAATAATATTATTAAATATATTTAGTTTAGTAAAAATAAAAATAAAAATTATAAGTATTAAACTAATAAAATAGAAAAGAAATATAAGTAATAGAAATAAAACTAGAAAAGCTATTATTTTATTATTACTAATACTAAAACTTAAATCTTAACTATATCTAATATTATTAACCGGTTTTTCTCGAATTCCGGTTCCTAAACTAAAAGATATATTTAAACGGGAAATTAGCTTTTAGAAATCTTATTAGTAAAAGTTTTAGATATAGAAACTTTATAATTAATTATAGAAGAACTTATTAAAATTAATATAGCTAAAAATAAATATATACTAATACCGGATTTAAATCTACTATTTATAAGAACTTTTAAAATATTATAGTTTTAAAGAAATAATATTTTTATATTTTTAGAATAATATATAAATATATATAAGAACTATTATATTTCTAATAATACTAAAAAAGAAAGAATTATTTATTATATTTTTCCTATTTATATAAATTAGATTAAAGCTATATTAGAATACTATACTAATAATTTAGAAGATTACTAGAAAACTAAATTCTTTAAAGCCTTACTAAAGAAATTCCGAGAATATAACTAGGAAATACTTAAAATTAGCTATAACTTTTTTAATTAAATTATTATATAAGCCTAAAATAAAGAAATCTCTTCTAAGTCTTATATTAATATATTTAATAAAGTATTAAAAAAGTTATTAAAAAAGAAAGAAATAGATAAAATTACTTAGTATCGAGAATTTATAAAAGAATTATTTATTTTAATAAGAGATTATATTCCTAAGAATATAAATTTCGAGCTTATAGACGTTTTTATTTATAAATATAATAAAATATATAAGAAAGTAATAATATTCTATTAATATAAAGAAAAGAAATACTATTTTAATATTATTAATAATTCAGATATATTTAGACTTAAATAAAAATACTTGAATATAATAATTTATAATATAATTTCTAAACCAGAAAATAATTATTTTTTATTAGTTTCTTCTATTATACTTTCTAAAGCTATTATAAATATAAATAAGAAAAGAACCTAGCCTATAACTAATTATATAAAACCTATTAAAAGTAGTAAATCTAAGGGAAATAATATTAACTAGCTAGTAAAAAGTTTAGAAAAACTATCTATTATTACTATAACTTAAAAGAACTTATAGAAATAACTTAATATAGCTACTATTATAATTCAAAAAAATATTTATAGCCTATTTATATAATCTAGTTAATTATAATAGATATTATAGTATTAATAGCCTAATAGATATAATTCGGGTTTTTAGAAAAAATATACTAGAAGTTATAATAGAGATTATAGGAAATACTATAATAACTATAATAGTTAAGCTAAAATAAATAAAGAATCTAAATAACTATATTCTAAAAAAAGTTAGTTTTAAGTATAATTAGAAAATATTATTTAAGTTAATATAGCCTATAGTATAGATCTAGAACCAAAAGAATAAATTTATTATAAATACTATAATAGAAATAAAAATAAAAATATTAATTTAGAATATATTTATATTTCTTAGTTCTATTATTTATTAATAAAAGAATTTATAAATTATAAATATATTTATTAATTTAATAAAAGATAATATAAAGGGCTATTTAAGCCTAAATAAAAAAGGATTTCCTTTTTCTTTACTAGTAAATACTAGTAGTTTTACTAAATTATATTCTAAGTCTAAAAAGAAGAATTTAATTATAACTTAAATATTTAACCCAAAAATATCTAGAGATTAATAGGAAATATCTAGTTTACTAAAGAAAAAAGAAAAAAGATAACTAGCTAATTAGGATTTATATATAAAAGCAAGTAAATTATATTTAGGAAATCTAAATAACTATTTTATTTTAGAAAAAATTATATTAGAATTACTAATATTTCGGGTTCCAGAATTAATAAATAATATTAAGACTTAACTATAAATAGTATTTCTATTAATATTATAACGGGTTTCTTATTAAAAAAAAATTAAAAAAAGATAGAAATAGCTAAAAAGGTTTTTTTTAAAAATAAGCTATTTTATATAAGAGGCCAAAAGAATATTATTTTAAGAAATAATAAATAAGGAAATAGCCTAGTTAAGAATATAAATATTAATATTTCCGGAAATAAATTAGAAATCTAGTATATTCTTAATTATAATAAATATAGAATTTTTAAAATTAATAATATTCTAATAAGGCTATTAAAGAAAGTAACTATTTTATTTCTAAAGATTTAGAAAGAAATAAAAATACTTATTATAATCTTAAAAATACCAGATCTAGTTATTATATTTTAGAACTAATAAATTAAAAATAATATTTTCTATTTTATTATTTTATAAATAAGAAATACTATTATATTAAATATAGTTAAATATATTAGAAAATCTATAAAGCTAATAGCTATAGCTTATATAATAAATAGAATATTTAAAAATTAGAAATATTAGTTTAGATATCTAATACTAATAGAATTATTCGGTTTAAAGGCAATAATATTAATATTTAAATATTACTAGCTTATAAATATATTATATAATTTCTATATCTTTAATTTATATTTCAAGAACCTTAAGAAAATATTAAATATAAAGAAATAATTAATATTCTCTCTAAAAAGATTTCTAGAAATATTAGTAAAATAATATATAATACTATAAATTATTAAATATTTATTATTACTAGAACTAAATTTGGATTTATAAAAATAATAAAATTTAGAGCTAAAATTATAGATAAAATAAGATATAAAAATAAAGATAAATATTATATATAAAAGTAATAATTTATAAAATAGAAGATTTACTAACTTTAAAAATAATTAGAATACTTATATTATTATAATTATTTTATTTTTAAAAAATATCGGGAAATAAAAGAAAGTAATAGTTTAAAAGTATTAAGCTTCTAGAATTAAGAAATTAAATAATATAAAATAAGAAACTAAAAATAAAAAGAAAAAATAGAATCTAATATTATAATTAGTAATAATATTAAAAAAAATAGAAAAATACCGGAATTCTTACTAATTCTTTTATTTTCGGTTTAGAAGTTTAGAAAATTAATAATATTTTTAGAGAAACTAAAGTAAAAAAGGATCTAGTTAAAATATTATTAAAAGTAGTTCCGGATTTAATAAAAAAAGAAATAAAAAAGATATTAAGATATTTCTAAAAAAGAAATAAAGTAATATTTTCTAATAATAAAGAAATATAT